ATACCTTAATTATGATTATTTTATTCAAACAAATGATTGAACAATCCATTATCAAAACAATCATAACACTATCAAAACTTTTCAATTTTAGCTAATTTTGAGCAGAGCTTAAAATGCTAGCCAGAAGATGACTTTCAAACACAGCTTTGAGCAGTTGCTCACATGTAAAATCATAATATTATTTCATTAAAATCATATTTAATAGCATCAAGCCAGGTATTTTTAGTAATATAATAAAACAGTTTAAAAAAATACAAATTAAATTAAAATATTTGAAAAATGTCTAATTAAGAGCCAATTGCCTACAATTTTTTGTATTTTACATTTCACCCCTGAAGTCCAGTTCTAACATTTCTGTGGTTTTATACACCAAAATAGCAATAATTAATTTTTAACAAGACAATTTTTCAGCCTTTCTTATCCCACAGAACACTGGCTGTTTCTGTTACTGTGCCTTGTAGACTCATAGATGTAAATGAGCTCTGTTCTGATTGGCTGCATTGTGCCTCATTCAAAAAACAACTGAAAAACTCTTTGGAATTTCAATACAAATGGACGGGGCTAAACTGCTGTGGGCTGAATATGTAAAAGAGTTGTTTCTTCTGAATTCGAAACCTGTATCTGTTTTTGCAACTTTAATAGTGTTTACATACTACCCAAGATTATTTTATTTGAAAAAAAAAGTAAGTACTTTAATAAATCGTTCAATGGCTGGAGTGCACCGAGAAGTCAGACACCAAAGTTTTTTCCTATAACATTTTCAAACTTTCTCATGCCAACTGATTGGCATTCTAAATCATGCCAATGTATTACCTGACCTGAACTAAACAGAACTAAGAGAACGAGAAAGAGGGAGAAATAGTGAGGGATGGAGAGATGTGGAGAATGACAAAGCCACCATCTCTTTGACATTATCTTTCTGCTTCTGTCATCTTGGGCGGTTCTCTCTAAGGAACTCTGTTAGAGACTGGTGGTCAGATCCGGTCAGCAGCAATATGTGATTCTGCTCTTCTCTGCTCTTTACTTTCTCCTACAGAGTATCCTAAACTCAGATTCTGATGATGTCATGCAATCACACTGCCACCATTTTGGTAGGCAACTTCAAGTTCATTCGGTAGCGTGGTTGTGCATTATGAGATAACAAAACTCTAACCAATCCAGCAAAGGCAGTAAAGTCTGTTCTTTTTCTGTAAAACTCAGTTTAAAACAAAACATTTAAGAACATTAACTGATATTTTTGAGCGTTTTATATTTAGCTAATATATTTAATGTGATTGTTGCTGTAGTGATCATATGTGAAAGCTAAAGTCCCCCTGTGTTATTACTGCTGTGTCCCAAACCTCATACTAGCACACTAAAAAATATGCAAAAAATAGGGCATATACCATTAGAAGTGCACTCTTTAGTGCAGTAGGTAAAGTATAGAAGGTTGTGATTTGGGACACAGTGTTAGATCAGCCAGTGACTGATCTAATGGAGATCCACTCCAGCAGCTCCTGTGGCTGATTATAGCTCTGATGTGCTGCTCATTAGCTGCTCATTAAACATTTCCAGGAGAATGTTTAAGGTTTTACCAGATTAAAGATGCATTTATTGAGGCAAGTTGATGTATTAATTGAACTAAGCTGATATTGGCTTCATATATGCCAGCTTCTTGTTTGAAATTCATTCTATGTTTAAGGCACCTTAACGTAACTGCAGCACCATTTAGGGTGGAACGCAAAATTCAAATAAGAAGCTGGCAAATAAGAAGCAAACTTCAGATTTATATATACATGTATGGGTGTATTATTTAAGAGGTCTGGCAGTTTGGTTGCTACTTTTATTAATTTTGGTAAAATCTCATGCATTAGAATGTTCTACCCTCTGGAGATGCAGGTTATATGGACCCAGTCCACCAGTCAAACTAATCTTCTCCTCGTAGCGTTTTCTGGAGACCATATATCTTTTCATTTTTTTTCATGGTGATTCTGGTCTATTTTGCTTGGTCTTCATCCATCTGCAGAGTTGTAGCTACAACAATGGAGATGAGACGAGTTCTGCCTACCAAAAAGGCGATGGGGCATTATTAATAATGTGATTGAATAGTTTATAATGTAACTAAATACTGTGAATTGTTGACATCAAATTTGATGATGTCGAACCCTTGTTGCTGCTCATTTTCTCTGTTTGGAATGGAGGGGGAAGACATGCTATACCTTGAATGTTGTTCCGCCATTAGTGCTTCACACATTTGACCTCATCATCTCCCACCCATACCGCTTTGGTTGTTTAGGAAGCAGTAGAAATCTAAAGCGCTGCCCAATCAATACAACCTCTCGGGAGATGTATTAATTAATGTTAGGAGATGTATTAATGTATGTATTACAGCCAAGCACAAAGCCACTACATGTAAACTCTTCTGCTACCCTTGTGCACTGGCTGCACCAGAAAAGTACAGGTAGTAGTGATCATTTTGTTACATAGCAAATGTAAACAAGCTTTCATTTAATCAAAGATTTTCACAAGTAAGATCATTAAAACCCTGTAAATGTAAAGTAAATTGTAGCCAGTCAGTTATAGGATTTTAAAATTCAAGCTATGGATAGCATGAATGGACAGTTCAATTCTGAAATCTGATTGGCTGTATGTAAGCATATGAGTAGCAACATTAAAATGAACATGTAATATAATGGAATAAAAAGGTAATGTATTCCTATGTTTGAATTTAAATTTACCATCGTGTATACAATTTTGGGCTCTAAGGGAACATTCAAATTCAATTTTACCATTTTATTATTCATCTGATTTACTACTATTGACATTCATTTCTACAGAGATTTAGATGCATTATGAGCATCTTTAAATTAAAATGTATTGCCTCAAATGCATGGTTAAGCTTCATGCAATTATGCAATAATGGTGTCAAAACATTAATTAAAATGTCATGTGCCTTATATGCATCTGCACTCTCTAATAAGCCATTTGAAATTGGATTAAAGAGAACGCCACGCTAGAAAGACTGCAAAATTCAAATGTAAAAAGGGAAACAGTGCTTCCTTTGCAATTACATATTCAGTGGCAAAATGGTTTTGAAAATGCATTCCAGGCTGACTTCATTTTGATTTTCACAGCCTTTCAGCTGTCAAATCAGCCCATTAGGGAGGGACAACAGCAGGCGGAAAAAGCATTTCCCCAAAAGGCTGATGTTCTTATGTTATCTCTGAATTGCCAACTAGGAAAAAACAAAGGAAAAGCCCTCCTGAACTGAGAAATCTTAGTGAAGTTAGGAAGATGTCCCCAACCCTGAGTTCAGCATATGACATCACATAAACAACAGCAAAAAGTGGCACTTATCCACTTTTAGTGTTGCCAGAAGCAGAACAAATTTGTTGGAAAAAGTAGAAAAAAAGAGGTCCTCAGTGATGCAGACTATATAGTTTCATGCAAATATTTGAACATCCTTGGTCAAATGACAAGTTTCCCTGATTTTCTAAGTGGAAATAACACATCTTCTACATAGAACACACTTAAATATGCCAATTTTTGGCTAATTTTAGTGCACAAGTTCTATTTATTTGCTATAGAGCCCCTGAAAGGACGTGGTATATTTTTTTAGGTAAAAATCTGGTTCGCACCTCATACTATCAGGTCAGAACCAGACACTATTAGGTGTGCACCAAATGCTTTTACGTGTGCACCAGATACTATCAGTGCGCGATCAATACTATGTGGTAAGCACCCAATACTATCAGGTGTGCGCTAGATATTATGTGTATCTGCTGCACACCTGATAGTATTGGGTGCTCACCACATACTATCGGTTGTGCACCTGATAGTATTTGGTGCACACCCAAGGGCATCTAGTGCTCAATACATAGTATCTGGGGCTCACCTGATAGTATCTGGTGCACACCTAATAGCGTCTGGTGCTGACCTCATAGTATGTGGTGCACACCAGATTTTTACCTAAAAAAAAATAAATAAATAAAAATGCCACGTCCCTTTAGGGGCTCCATAATTTGCTGAGTTTCACACATAGGGAAAAAATAAAATATAAAATGTGCCGTAACTTCTTCACAAGCCATATTTTATTTTTTCCCCAACATGTTAAAGTCAGCAAATAAACAGCAATTGTGCATTGAAATGTGCAGAACTGTGTTCTCTGTAGACAATGTGTTATAATTACTGTGTAATTTATGTGTAATGTGTGACTTATTTTCACTTAGAAAATCTACAAAATGTGTCATTTGTCTGGAGCGCACAAAACTTGTGCATACGACTCTATATCTGTTCATGAACTTTCGGAGCTCAGATAGATAAAACAAAAAACAAGCCTTTATGAAGGCGTCCGTGTTTTCCCACTTTGTAGCATGCAGAGTCCAATACTGAAAGCATGCATTATTGTATCAGGAGTATTGTGTGACAGGTAGTTTGTTACATATCGCCATGTTTCAAAAAAACAAACATGTATCCTCCTTTTTTCTGCATTATTTGAACATAGCACCTGCCTTTTATATTGTGTGAAAATTTCATGGAGAGTCATTACATTGAGTTACATTAAAATAAACAATGTTTTTCCTGTACAGTTACCATTTTGGAGATATTTTACACAGTGACGATATGCAGCATCATGAGCCTAGCAAATTTAATGTTTTTTTTATTTTTTTTTAATTTAACTTTTAATATACTGAGTATTTGAAAGTGTTTTACTGCTGTGGCTTAGAAACAGCTTTGTGTGTCAGTTTTTTGAGTTTGAAAAGGGATTGTGTTGGATCGACAATTTCTACTGCTGAAGTTGAACATTTATGTTCACGCGATCCCTCGCCCCTCTGAGGGCTCATCTAACAAACTTCAACAGAGCTGCTAAAGAAATAACACTGCTGTAAGCTAATTTATTTTTTAAGTTCTTGCATCTTTGCTTATTTAAGTGAATTGGCTTTTTCACCAGGCAGATTTTAGTTATGTTCCTCACCAAACACATGAGGAACTGAAAGAGAATGAATGATATCTTCTTTTACCTGGACATAGATGTCTCTCTCTATGCGTGTGATGTTGACACTGTGTGGCTGACCGTTGGCCAGATTTCGTTGATCCAGATCAACAGTGAAGGGCTCCCGCAATCCACCAAGGTTATACCGCAACTGCAGAGTACCTGAAAAAGAGAGAGAGAGAGAGAATGAGAGCAAGAGAGAGAGCGAGAGAGAGAAAGAGATTGAGAGAGAGAAAAGGGAGAGATTGAGAAAGAGAGAGAGAGTAGGGGAGTAAAACAAAGAGGAGAGAACGAGAGAGGGAGACAGAGAAGGAGAGAAAGACAGATGAGAGAGAGAAAAAGAGTGAGTGGGAGAGAGAGAGAGATCAGTTCTGTGAAATAAAAACATACTATGTATGTCTGTAATTTTTAGTTCATTTGTATAAAATACAATCATCATGCTTTAAACTCAAAACTAAAGCTGTAATATTCTTATTTTGTCATATTTATTTTGTGATTGGAAACAAAAGGATTTAAATATTGAAGAAATGGAAATTGGCCAGTCAGAATTGTTTTCTCCATAGTATCTAGGAAGATTCAGCTAAGCGAGCTCTCCTTTTGGTTAGGACATCAGGAGCTGAACTGAAAGCCTTGCACATTAGAATAACTACCAGCATAATTAGGAATTAACAGAGGAATCAACCTGTCATGTTTTGATAGGATCAGTTTTGTGAGAAAAAACCTCACTCTAGATCTCTTGGAAGTTCTAGACATGTCACTGACTGTGAATACGAGTCATACTTGAACCAGGTTTCATTTAGTTGTTAGGTATGGAAAACAGCAACAGCAACTCTACAGCAAGACTCTCTACTGAAAAAGTCACTGTAAAACTGACACATACAAGCATATATGTTAGTGACTGTTACAAGCTCTGAATGAAACATATACAGAATGTCTTTTACAAGTGTCAAACGTCCTTGTTTAATGTAAAATGACCAAAAAATGTTCATGTACACCAAACCTACTATGGGAAATCTCATAGGGGTGGTAGCAGAAATTAGCATTAATGTACAGATGAGTTTTGACATCTGTGGCCTGAACTGAAGGCCTAGCTCTAACAGACACAGTTCACCACTGATAAATACATATATTAATCTCTAACCCAAATGAAGCAAAGATGTATTCTAGCCCTCTTGTCCAATATAAAACTCCTTTGTTTATGTAATGTCAACACTTCCATTAAAACTTTTAACAATCCATGAATTTTTCACAAACTGAAACAAAACAACAATTACAACAAGCACTATATTTATGCTGATAGGCATGGATGTGACTGCTTGTTCTATCAGGTGCAGGATAATTACTTCTCACAAGCATGACAACATGCAGTGAACTTCTTTAGGTTTGGAAATGAGGAGTCTTATTTCTCTCTATTTTCTATTCACACTGGCTCGAGTCAGGCTGAGACCCACACTCCAAATGCACTTCTTTTCTGACTTTAAAACTTCTTAAATTATCACTAATGAAGTAGAAAGCATTTAGATGAGTTTTGTTTTAGATTTGTTTATATGCATGTGTGTGTTTGTGTGGATTTGAGCTCATGAGTGAGTGTGACAGAAAGAGGAAGAGAGAGAGAGAAGGAGATAGATGCTGTGAAAAGCAGCCATTAAATATTACTCAGTTGTATTGGCTGAATTAAGATGCTTTCTAAAAGCTGCACTTTGGTTCGGCCATAAAAACTGAATTAATAAATGAACTGTGGAAAGACACACAGAGAAGTCATTAAACGAAGGCAGCACAGCCATTTGGGTGAGAAAGAAACACTGAGGCAGAGAAAATTAAAAAACAAATCACCACACATGATGGAGAGCAAACAGACCCTCGCCATACAGTCTATCATGGCTATCATTACAAAACTTTGCACCCATTTGGTTTGTTTGTTCTCTCAGTTTTTACTTTATTGTATTTTTAACACCAGCTGCTTTTATTTTTCATTAAGACAGATCAATACTTAAAAAGTACTTTAAAATACATTCATGCATTTTTTCTTCTATAAACTTATTGTTTCCTTAAATAAATGTAATAAACTTGAATAAACTTTTTCCCATAAAAGGTTTGCTACAGATAGTGATGAAAGGAGTCTCCAGTCAGCATGGTGAGGAAGAAAAAAAAAAATCACTCCACAAACATCACACTGTTAAAACTACATGCACTTCAGATTCATACGGAAATAACATCACTGCCAAATTATAACTGTGGGATAGTAAAACTACACACGTTACAGATTCATACTGGATTAAACTCACTCCAAAGTTATTACTGTCAGAATGTAAAACTACACACACTGCAGATTCATACTGGATTAAAATCACTCCAGAATTATTACGGACAGACTGTAAAACTACACACACTGCAGATTCATACTGGATCAAACTCACTCCACATTTATTACTGTCAGACTGTAAAACTACATACACTGTAGATTCATACTGGATTAAAATCACTCCACATTTATTACTGTCAGACTGTAAAACTACACACACTGCAGATTCATACTGGATCAAACTCACTCCACATTTATTACTGTCAGACTGTAAAACTACACACACTGCAGATTCATACTGGATCAAACTCACTCCACATTTATTACTGTCAGACTGTAAAACTACACACACTGTAGATTCATACTGGATTAAAATCACTCCACAATTGTTATCATCAGACTGTAAAGACTACAAGCACTGTAGATTAATACTGAACAGTAAGTAAGTAAAAAAAAAAAACAATGGCAAGATATTTTCTCAGTCTGTCTCATCCTAACATCTACGTCAACTCCATAATTACTGGCACCCTTGGTTAAGATGGGTTATGAAATAATGTCTGTGTGGTTATTTAGATCAATCCCATACTGAAAATCACAGAAAAACATTTTACTGAAGTTAATTTAGGCTCTCCAAAAATTGCACATGAACAAAATGCAAAATGTAACTGAAGCATGTTTCCACTTATATTTCACTCAGTCCACTTGAGTGCTCAGAAACTCTTAAATGGCCATCTATGACTTCCTGTTTCACTGAGTTATAAATCTCAGTGAAACAGGAAGGATCTCAAATAGATCATCTTCTAAATGATCTATTATCTGTTAATCCATTCATCAAGATGGAATAGAGGATACCCAAATTAAATGAGACAACAGTGCATTTAAATTCACATGATATTATCACACAGACAAACGTTTATTCACATAATACAGAATCTGCCCTTTTGTTTTGGATCTAAAAGTTTTCTGTTCTTTTTTACTAAACACAGAGAAACGTGCTTAAATTATTGTCTAAAGACAATGACTGAAAAATGTTGAGGTTGATTAGGTAATTGGGTTGAAAAACACTGAAGTACTCTTTATGTGTGTCATCAGTGAACAGTGTTGTACCGTTTTGGCGCAGCACCACTGCCATGTAGTCCTGTGTTTTGGAGCTGATGTAGAGGAGGACGCTGGGCGCGCTGGATGTGCTGAAGCTGAAGGCCACGTCCTCTCGGGTCAGGTTGGTTTCTGTAGGCAGCGACTGGACCACATCTTTACCGTCCATGCTGGAGGCTGCGGCCACCACATCCGGCACCAGGTTGTACCTAACCAGCGTTCCAGCTTCAAAAAAACCACCAACATCTGAAAATGAAGCACAAGGTTTCTAAGCAAGAGATGCATCACATGCACAAGACACAAAACAGAATTTGGCCCTTTCTCATTATTAATTTGCCTCCTTTATTCTTTCGTTTTATTATATATATCATTTTATATTATATATATCATATTCATTCATTTTACCTCACAGCTGTACTCCATCTTCAGCTGCACAAAAAAAAATCTATAAAAAATAATGAATTCACAAGCATTTATATGTAGAAATAAGATGGTTTATTGTTCAATCAAGAAAACGCTATGTATTGTTTTTATTAATAAGTGTTTTTCAGGTCATGTTGTAGTACAAAATGAACAGGAATCTAGCTGTTAGCAGTATATTAACACCTGTTCAGAAAAAGTGAGATGTCAGAAAGCATGCACCATTTGTGTCAGTCTTGTCACTGATACAGACATATTTGGATATACTGGATGTTCTTGGAAATACTAGTTATATTCTATAGGAAACAAGCCTTTGAAGTGACACATGACACAACATGCTTGTTCTGAGCGTGGATGGAGCTAAACCTTCATTAAATTTGCAAGATTTTGGAAAATACAGTTAGACATGAGTGGATGCAAACTGACAAATCATACTGAAATAAACATACTGTACGGTGCAAAAGTCAGAGACCACCCTTCATTTATTTATCTATGAGGAGATCAGATATAAAATAATCCTCTTGCAAAAAGGATGGAGAAAGTCAAATGAAAATAAGTGAAAAATCATAAGTTCAAAATAGTGTTTAAAAGCTACAGAGAAAGTGGGACTCCTAACAACCACCTGCAAGACCCGGTAGACCACCAGAACTGTCCCCTCAGTTAAACAGCACTTAACGCTTTAATCTTTAAGAGAGAGGAGAAAATCAAGCTCCACTCCTGCTTCAGATCTGAAAAAATCCGCAGGTGTTTCTGTCCATCCTTCCACTGTGAGAACTCAACACTATGAGTCTGAAAGGATGTGTAGCTGTTAAAAAAAAAAAAACCTGAGAAAAGGAAACAGACAAATCAACAAAGAAGCTCCTGGTGTTCTCAGAACAATGGACTGGCCACCCCAGAGTCCGGACCTCAACATCACTGAATGTGTTCGGGATTATTTGGACTGTGGTAAGAAAATGTAAAACCAACTTCTAAGACTGAACTTTGAAGATAAGGAATAAATATCCCTGCAGATTTCTTTGAAAAACTGAAAGTGAGCCTCCAGAAAAGAATGGAAGCTGTGATAAAGGTAAAGAGTTGACACACTCAATACTGAAAAATGTGTTATAATTATGTTGCTGAGGTTCTTATATAAGACTATAATATATAAATATATGTATATATATGTATATAATATATGTATAATATATATATATATAATATATACTGCTTTTGTCTGACACCAAAAAATGAATAACTTATAGTTAATGGATGTTTTCACTTCTGACTTTTGCACAGCACTGTATTTTCTGTATTTATGAAGTTTTGACATTTTTATGATTACAGTTTAAGAGAATGTCATAGAAGCAATTCATCCAAAAATCTGACAAATGTTTGGCAGGGCCAAAATCATCATTTTGGCCAGTGTAGTGTGAAAAGATTAGGCTTTAATCTTTCAGTTCTGCTGAAAAGACAAATTCTGAAGTGACTACTGAACTTTACAGCTAGCTCATTTTAGGTCTGTAGGTTGTTTGGCCCCCTCCCTAATGCTTCTGCTACATTTTTATGGCCTTTCTTCCCATCCTCAAGGGGGCAGTAAGTGCTCTCCAGGATTCGGCCTGAACATTAACACCTCTGTCCCAAAAGACCCTCGACCTGCTGAAGAGAAACATCTCCATAAAATCATACGGCCTCTATTGCACTTTACAGCAGGGAGCGGCGTGCTGTATTCAGGCTTTGCCAAACACAGTGTTCTGCACTCAAGCCAAAACATTCTGCCATGCAGTAAAACCTTTCTCAGTGTAGCTCCTCTGTGCTGCTTTGCATATCTTAAATAGCACCAGATTTGGCCATGTTTTTGGAAGTGCTTTTCATTTTGCCACCTTCTGGTGCAAACCAGAATCAAACACGCATTTAGATTCAGATTCACAGCTTTGCTTTTGGCACAGAGGCCTGCAGCTCCTTTAGAGCTCCGGTTGGATTCCCAGTGGCCTCTTTCAATGTTCATCGAGTTTGAAAAAACTGTTTGAGCAGTTCACCCTGTATGACATCCACTTCTTGATGAAGACCTTCATAGAGCAGAGGCTCCTAACCTTTCATAACTCGCAGCCCACACAATTGACCACAAAAGCTTCCGCAGCCCACAAGATACCAACTAACCAACTAGATCACGTAAAGTGAAAACAAATATAATACAGTAATCAATGTAGCCTGTCAATTTTGATCAATATTATAACACAAAACACAACAAACACTAAAAAATAACAAACCATTTTTTAACTTACCTAATGAGTTAGCTTAGTTAGAGTTGTTCGTTAGCTACCGAGTGCTGGATGACTTGCTGAAGAAATGAAACATGCAATAGTACAATAAGTTTAGATGCATATTTGTTTAGCCTCCAAATGCTGGCGCAATTTGTTCGGCATCAAATCTTTATTTATAAAAAGACCTCTGAGCATTTAGCACAGAGTTACTCATTTTCTGTTCTCAGACATGTGAAGCCTAAAGGCCTTTGCACAGTGAACGCGATTTATTTATCCAATATTTCCAGACGAATTGAATTAGGTGATAAAACACCCCGTGCTCCTTTCACTTTCCAGAATGGAAGGCAGCCAACTCAATGTCAGTCTGCCTATTTTGTGAAGAGTAAAGGAGATCTTTTTCACCTGAAGACATCCTGTCCATTTGTTCGCTTTTTGTCGAGCCGCAATAAGGCTCAGTACTCTTTGCTGTATTTTTCTTCATTTTGGTTTTTAAGTGTGACAAATAGAAGGAATCATTAGGGGACAAATACTTTTTCACAGAGCTGTAAAAAAACAGGAAAATCATACAGAGAATTTAAGGTGTTACTCTACACAGCTGTCTTTCAAAGAGCACAGTAGACTATAATAAATTGAAAAAGTGAAAAATGTCTGTAATAAGCAATCAAAAAGCACTACAGTTCAAAACAGCAGGAGGCAAATTAGTTTGTTGCATCACCTGCAGGGAAAATATATGCCTGAGCTTATTTATAAATATAATTATTAAGTGTTGTGTACTTATCTAGTTTTATTGCTCTTGTTTATTTATTTATTAAATTAGTTACATTCAGAAATGGTTGACATTTGCCTTCCATTTGAATATTTCTGCTTTCACGCACACACAAACTGAACTCCTGTCTAGAGGATGTTTTGTATTAATGCTGCAATAAAACGCAAGATAATGGCACTTTAATGATGAAATATCATCTCCCAGCTTTCAGAGAGGAAAAAGCATATCCACTGGAACGCGCTCAGGCATAATTTGTGATATAATGCGCTTACTCTGACCCCTGTTGAGCTTGCTACATTCGAAAGCCAATAAGAAACTGCCTTGCTCCGCTTCAGTCGAGGTGAACGCTCTGAATTCATGAGCACGCTTCTGGAGGAGCCGTAAACACATGGCTGCCCCAGACGACAGTGGAAGAATAAAGGTCCTCCTGTGGACTGAGAGTGAATGCATGTGTGTCTTACAGGAGCACTAAAAACATAAACAGTGCAGGAGGTGCTGTGTGTGGGGCGGAACAGAGAGAACCATGGGAAATTAAGCGGCGTAATGAAGTAAATTTACCCAGAGGGAACGTGTAGAGAAACGTACGTGATTTCAAACCCTTTCAAAACTCTTGGTCTCTTGCACAAAGGACGAGACAGATTTATAGCGCAATTATACCATCTATTTATGCATCTATTTATACAGCCGTATTACCTGGGGGGGGGCTGAGCAGGTGTGCAGGTAAACACAGGTGTTTGGGAAGGAAATTAACTGAAACTGACACCTTAGCCTGCCAAATGAACCTTCATGTGACTATAAACATGCAAACTCTCGTGCAGTCACTCCTGCCAATAGCAGGCAGACATAGGCACTGTTAATGCATTTTAAGGCCATATCATGGAAAAAAATTTACTTGCATTTTTAAAGCTGTACAGCATATGATTTTTGTTACAATTGAAAGAATTTGTATTACTGAGTGAGGAGGGAAAAAATGTACTAAAATAAGGTGTTTTCGCACTGCTGCGAGTCTCCCTGTAAAGTCAGAAATATTCATTCATCAAAAGTCAGAATTGCTGGGTCAGATTTACGGTTCTTCAGACCATGTCAAACGTCTTCACATATTGACGTCACATGCACAGACTTGATATGGGCTGGTTACCTGAGCAACACTGGTGGTGGTATTGCTCACAGCGCTGAAATATAGTGAAAGGAAGAAGAGAGATATCTCTGAATATGGAGACATTGCAACGGCAAACTCAGTTGCCAGTTGTCTGTGGCATCCCCTAAGGTCAAAGCATTGAAATGTAGAACTGAAGAGAGCTGGTGTTCTAACAATTTATATAAGACACTGGCTTCAGCCTTATAATTTTAATGCTGGTAGTAGGTACACTCTTAGATGGTTCTTCAAGGGCTCTTTAGTAAAGAAAATAGCTTTCTATAGAACCATGAACACTCAAAGAGCCCTTTGCATGATTAAAGAGTTCTTTGCATGGTGAAATGGTTCTTCAGATTGATGGAGAATGTGGTGAAGATGGCTTTTTGAAAAGAGCCAGATCATTTACTGCTGTGGAATTTAATGTTACCCTTCTAGTGTCATGCAATGTAGCATTGTAATCGTGAAGTAGTTTTAACTGTATAACATTAGCTGGCTAATTCTCTAATATTACTTACCGATTACTTTGCTAATCGCGTTTTTGGAGTTCGTCCTCTATTGTTTGATAAATCAGGCTAGCCATTATTCTCAGATAATTTCCAGTGCCATCGTCTCTTTCCTTTCATAAACAGAACCAGTATAAAATATCCATAGCAAACACTGCTAAAATAGATATTTGACTGACGAG